CGGTCTCGAGGCGCCGCAATGTTCATTGCACCCCGTTTTCGAGCGAGTTTAGGGAGCGCCTCGGACAAGTGCACTCCACTCGCGCTCGATTTGCAGGCACTGTGGAGAAGGCCTGCTGGCCTTCTTTGGCATGTGCGGCTATCCTGCCACTTTTTTTGTCAGAGGCCTTCTGGTGGAATGCTAAGGGCCACCAAAGCGTGGCCCAAGGTTTGGCCCGCAAGAGGCTGCTCAATGGTCTGCTCCTTGTGGACGGGGAGCCCTGCTGGGCATTGAGCCTTTTCTGGCATTCCTGCGGCGCCAGCGGGCTTGAGCCTCCAGCTCCAGAGGCTAAAGGCCTATGGGTTCGCCGACTTCGGAGCGGCGCACCTTCTGCCCATGAGTGAAAACTCTCCTTCTCTCTCCTTTACCATCCCCTCCTTGTGATCCTCTCCGAAGTCACGCACGTGTGACAGGGCTGGGTCGTCGTCGGCGTCGCCGTCTTCGTGCGACGACGACGACGACGACCTCATCTTTCCTCGTCGTGCATTCCACCTACGACTTGCCCGGGCAAATCGTTTATGATCGCCTGGGGCCTCAAATTTACTTCTCTCCCGGGTGTTATTATCTGGGGTCGTTGGTTTGTGGTCCACTTTTCCCGCCCCCACATAATCTCAGGTTTTTCTGCAATTCTGGTTTGGGCCCCGTGTCCGCCAACAACCATCTGAGCGATGAGAATTGGTCCATTGGAAGCCCCAGGGCGCAGTTCTCTTCTCACTCGTCTCCTTATTCGTGTTTCCTCATCGCGCCGCCCAAAAGGGGCAGAAGCCGCCCCCACCATGCCCCAGCCTCGCCGCGCGGGAAGTGGCTACCCTGCGACCCAACATGCCAGTCAACCCGGACCCGAAAAAGGGGAAACAACTACCATACCATCGCCCGCGCCATGGTCCTGCACGCCCGGGCGGTGCGCGAAGACGTGGACAGAGGGCGCGTGGGCAGAGGGCGACCGCAAGGGCTTCCTAAGCAGCGCCCACGGCACGAGGGCCCCAGACAACGGGATGCCCAATGGGCGCCCCTGGGGCGGGAGACAGGCCGCCCTCGTGCACTTGGTAGCCTACCTCACCAGGGAGAAAAGACGCGCTCACAACAGAAAGGACTACTTGGCCGAGCAATTGACCTCCTACTTGCAGGCCGACCATCCCCAGCTATACCAAGTCCTGGGTAAGGATCCGAACAGGTATAGTCATCACCACCTCGGAGCCTGAATTCACCCTCGCTGGGACATTACACGCCTGGTGCCGACGCGAATGCCACCGCCGAGCCAATCCACAACAAAATAAGGAAAGGCCCTCAGGCCGAGCGTCGAAGTTCCACCCCCCTGCCAGAGGCCCCCGAGGGCACTTTCGCCTTGACGAGGCCAGCAGCAGAAGGCGCATCCGCCTCGGAGCTGGGGGCTCAGCCCGACAACTCCGCAACCCATGCGCCTCGCCCGACCGAAGTAGCCGGCATGGCCGCACCGTCGCCTCCAAGGCAAGAGGCCTGCGTCGGGAGCGGGAGTCCGGAGGTGGATGATTCACCCCGACGCCGCGGCCAAAGGCCAAGACCCCCGGCCAAGCCCAGCAAGGGGAGCCCCACCCAAACGGCCACGCCCAGGCAAAGGCCAGCAGCACAGGCCCAGAGCACTCCCAACGGACGACCACCCAGCTTCCACAATGCGAGCAGGCGGCGGACGACAGGGCCGCTGGCGATGCGAACGCCAGCGCGCCCAGCCTCAGCGACCACCGCACCAGCAGCACGGCGGCAGAACAGGCTGCAGTAACCGAGCCCGCCGAAGGGCGCGCACGTAAGACACCGAGGACGGCCGAGCAAGGGCACAGTCGCCAACCCGGGCAAGCATGGACGGAACGCGCCAACCCGTGGGCCGACTATCAAGGAGGAGGGGGTTCCTCCTTTACCGTTGGCCCATGCCGCGCCGACCCAGAAACGCCCGATTGCCACAGATCCCGCAGCCCAATCTTAGCTATGTCCGCCACGACGACCCCCGCGACTCGCTGTGCATCCGGCCCCGTCGGATGATCAATTGGTACCGAGCGTGCAATCGCAGGTCCAACGCCCGCGAGACCTGGTCTGAGGTCGTGAACGTGCTATAGAAGGATTGCGGGGCCTTCTTCGTCGAAGGCTGGAGCGCTCTCTGCTACGCCAGGAACAACCGGGCCCCAGGAAGAGGGACCTACGACCCCGACGGGCAAGACGCCATCTGCGAGGAACTCGCGAGCCATCTGTATCATGAATACTTTGACATCCGCAGGGTCTGTAGGGCGCGGGGAGTCAACGTGAACTGGGGCGCCGTCCGGGGCCGCCAGCGGCGGCGCAACGAGCAGCAACGGGGCAAAGGCAGTGGCAAAGGGGCGCGCGGACCCCTTTTGGCCGAACAACGACCAGTCGAGGCAGCGCCGTCCAAATGCGGCAGGCCTGCGCGGCATCTTAGACCTTTGCTCCAAGGCCAGACCAGGACGCTATAGCTGTTCCCCCAGCGGCAGGCCCTCCAGCTGGGACCCTGACCTGGCGTCGGCCCTGTTCAGCCCAGAACCCTCTGGCCATGGCACAGACAACGGTCTCCCACACGCGGCCCTTGCGCCTAAGCAGCCATGTAATGGCGCACGCTGGCCCGCAGACCGCAGCGCGCCCAGTACAGTGCGGGGCGCCCAGCCGCATCAGTGCAGCACCCCCGTCGCCCTCTGAGCCACCCGCCGGCCTTGGACGCCGCGCGCCCACCCCGGCGGCGCGTGTTTTTTTTTCTATGTCTTTTTCATGTCAGATCTCGCACCGGTTAGGTGCCCCGGCCGCGCGTTGTCCACCCTGGCAGCGCGCAGCCCCCCACGGTCTCGGCAGCTTTTTTGAATAGTTTCCGGACCGATTCGGTGCCCCATATAGTCCTGGCCCGCACTGTCCACCCCAGCAGCGCGCGGCCTAACGGCCTTGGCCGCAGTGGTGTTCCAGGCGCGCCCGTTTCGCAGCACCCTGCTGGGCAGCCGCAGGACGCGCTCCAGCGACAGCTCGTAGACGTTCGCAGCAGCACAGAGCACGGGCAGCCTGCCTACCGCCCAGGCGGGCGCCGGCGCCTGCGCTGCCGCCGTGTCTGCGAGGATCTCCTTATAGGCAGGGCGCTCCTCCTCGTCCTCTCTTTCCCTCCCCGCCGCTCTTTTTCGCCCCATCTCTTTCCGCGCGCCGCCGTGGCGCTCGCGAGGCTGCCGCGGCTTGCAGCCCCCGCGTGCGGTTGGGCACCTGGACTTGGTCTTGCAGCCCGCTCCCTCTCACGGGCCCAGCTTTTTGTTGGTTGCAGTCCAATTCTAGACTGCTCGCGAGCTTGCCGTACCTTGTCACGTGCCACCCATCTGGGCGGCCTTGCGGCCCTCTTCTGTCGTCCAAGTACCTCGCCTACTTCATCGGCAGCGTTACTGCAGTACGGTCTTGTTTCCCGCGCGTTGGGCCTCGTCATCGAAGGTGGGTGCCCCGGCGCCGTGGCCCGGCAGCTGCCGTGGATCCCGCTGACGGGGCCAGCCGCGCCAACACACAGGTGAGAACTTTTCCGCCTCTGAGTGGCATCTTCTCCCACGTCCGCGGCCGCCTCGTCTGTTCTCTCCCCGCTCTTGCACGCTGGCCAGTCCGCTCCTCGGTGCCCCCGCTTAGCTCTGGCGCCAGTGCAGCCGAGTCTTCCTCGCCGCCGACGATGGAGGATGTAAAGGGGAGACAACGCGATCCCCTTTACATCCTCCACGCATCAGGTGATGTGTGTGTGCGTGCGGAGCAGCGTTGGCCTGCGCGTAACCAGGGCGTGATACTTGTTGCGTGCGTTGTAGATTCTCACGATATGTATGCAGGTTTTGACGTCATTGGCCCTACGCAGCGGCCCCTGCATTTCTTCTTTATAAAAGCGGGGGACCAAGTCGCTGGTCGCCTGGGTTTGAGCACGGTGCCCTCAGTCAAGTTTGTGTGAGGCCCTCCTTGCAAGGCACAGTTTGTTTTTTCTTTTTCTAGGAATCGGGTCGTATATCCCTTCGTATTTCGACCTGACGAGTCCGAGCGCCGCGCCGCCAGGGCGCCCTCCCCGCGGACCCCCGGATGCGGTCCCTTGCCCACAAGGTCCCGAAGGGTTGTTGCCATCGGTGGCAACGATAAAGGGAGGGATGGGCACAGGGAGGAACGCATCGAACCCCAGTCGCCTATCCATCGCCGATCTGGGGCCCGATAGCCCGAACCTGCCCAGGAACTTGCGGACTCGCTATATGGGGCTTGTCGCCAATTTATCGGCGATGTATCGCCGGTTCCAGGTCGACGACCCCCCAAATTGCCAACTCCCCCGTACTGTGCCCCTTATTCCACGGGGCCCGGGAAGGGCACAGGCGCCAAGGAGCGGAAGGGCGCACGCCCACGCAGAGACCGGGTGGATCTTGGCCCCGGGATCGGTGCACGCGCCTGCCTCCCAAACCACCATGGCGTGCGCACCCGTCTTGGGCCCATGATTGAGCTAGCCAAGGCTGGTATCAGGTGTGCAGCTGGCGTCCTCCTACGAAAGCCTTCGCGCCCAGCCCCTTCGGTAGTTATATAGGAATTGCCGAAGGTGACCCTGCTCCTCCTCCTCCTCCTCCTCCTCCTCCTCCTCCTCCTCCTCCTCCTCCTCCTCCTCCTCCTCCTCCTCCCTCCTCCCCCCTCTTCCTCCCTCCTCCTCAGGTCTTGGTGACACGTTATTGGGCGCACTACTTGGTTCCAGCTGCGACCGCTTAGAATGCCACTGGGTTCTTCCCATCGCGATGCGTTTTTCTCAGGCATGAAGTGAACGTTCTTCCCATCGCCATGCGATCTTTTTCAGTCAGGTGTGCTGTGAATGTCTCTGGTTGGGTATTGATTTCGCGAGTTGGATCGCCGTGCCGAGGGGCTGCGGATTTTTGGTTTTTGCGGACATGATGTTGAGCGTGGCCGCGGCTTGTTTTGTTTGTCCACTCCAGCGGCCTCTCCGCGTGCAG